GCGGCGGGGGCTTCAAAGCTCCCGCCACTCAGCTGGGGGAAAATGAGGCCCCATTTTCAGCCAGCTGATCGGCGGTTCCAAAATGGCTGCCCACTGTGTTGCCTCGCTTTAGAGGCACCGAAAATGGCCGCCCCTATGGAGGATTTTCGCTTAGCGGTGAGTTTCCCCCCCATAGGAACGCATTAAACGGGGTTTAATGTGTTCCTATGGGTTTTTTTGCCCCGTATAGCAACGAATCCAGATAGCGACGATTTATCCGGAACTGTAGTAGTGACTGGCTCCTGTAAATTTTAACACCAGCACTCTGTTTTCTTGCATTTCCTTTTGTTCCTTTTATTTCTTGACTCCCTACTTTAACATTCCAATCCCCTATAATGAGAAGAGCATCTTTCTTTGGTGTCAGTTCTAGAAGGTGTTGTAAGTCTTCATAAAATTGGTCCGTATCAGTCTCCTCAGCTTTGTTGGTTGGTGCATAAACATGGATTATTGTGATGTTGAAAGGTCTGCCTTGGATTTGTATTGAAATCATTCTATCATTTTTGAGATTATATCCCATTACAGCTTTATCCACTCTTTTGTTGACTCTGAGGGCTACTCCATTCCTTCTACAGGATTCTTGCCCACAATAGTAGATATGATAATTGCCTGAATTGAATTCGCCCATTCATGTCCATTTTAGTTCACTGACGCCTAGGATGTCAATGTTTATTCTTGCCATCTCCTGTTTGACCATATCCAGTTTATCTATGTTCATAGATCTTATATTTCAGGTTCCTATGCAGTATTTTTCTTTGCAGCATCGGACTTCGCTTAAACTTCCAGGCACATCCACAGCTGAATGTCCTTTCGGCTTTGGCCCAACCACTTCATTAGCTCTGGAGTTATTTGTACTTGTCCTCCACTCTTCCTCAATAACATGTTGGACGCCTTCTGAACTGAGGGTCCCATCTTCCAGTGTCATATCTTTTAGCCGTTTGTTTCTGTCCATGGGGTATTCTTGGCAAAGATACTGGAGTGGCTTGCCAATTCCTACTCCAGGTGGTTTGCGTTTAGTCGGAACTCTCCACTATGACCTGTCCATCTTGCGTGTCCCTGCACAGCATAGCCCGTAGCTTCTCTGAGCATTAGTTGCCTCCAGCACACTCCCAAATCGTTGTTCCTTTAGGTGTTTTTTGAGTTTGGGAAACATAATAGTCAGGAGGATCCAGGTCAGGAGAATAGGATAGATGGGGCACCACTTGAAAGCCTAAGGAGGTCAGTTTTACTATTGTTTCACCTGCAGTGTGTGACAAGGTGTGGCGATCCCCCTTGTTGCCCCTTTATTTCCTTCACAAAGGTAAACATGCCTTTTTTCTTCTTTTCGCTGCCACCAGGTATTTCTCCTAATACCACTACAATTCCCACACACAGGAGCTGCTCATATAACTTAGGAATCAGGGGATTGATCAAATATTCTTTTATTCATGAACAAAATCATAAGGAGAATCAAATATATAACTGTTTCAGGTGTGCATATATTAGATCATGTATTCAGTCACTGGTGTTTCTCATGTTAGGCTTATGGGTTCATTCCTGCTTGTCCACTATGTTTTACAGTACTCTTTCAGTTTCCTTAACCCCTTTTTTAGCTATTCCTAAACCCTAGCACCCTCTCCACATCTTCTTGTCCCTACTTCTATCCCTATCTCATTCCAACTGTCTCTTCTCACTCTCTTCCAACTGTCATTCTGACTCCGCCCCTCCTGCTCTATCCTCTGATTGACATGCAGGAATGACATCATCTTTTCCGCTACACAAGGCATTGCCATGCAACAGGATGACACCTTTGGAGAGCTTTCCTCGACGTTTTCCCTTGATGTTTTGCCCCAACTCTGTCAATAAAGCACAGTAATATTTTGCGTTGATAGTTGAACCCTGTTGGAGGTAGTCCACCAGCAGAACTCCCTTCTTATCCCAAAAAGCTGTTGCTATTTGCTTCTTCACCGACCTTTGCACTCGGAACTTCTTTGGTCTGGGTGAATCACTGTGCCTCCATTCCTTAGACTGTTCCTTTGTCTCTGGATCATAACAGTAGATCCATGTCTCATCACCAGTTACCAATTTGCCCAGGAAATCTGATTCATTTCTTGCAAAATGTTCCAAAACAGCCACCGATGACTCCACACGTTTCCTCTTTTCTTCAGTTGTCAAAAGTTTGGGGATCGACTTTGCTGCCAGCTTTCTCATTTTCAAGTCTTTGTGGAGAATGGCACCAACTCTCTCACGTGATATACTCAGATATATAGTGTGGTGATCCCCCTTTGCGCCCCTTATTTCTTTGGGCTCCACAAAGGTAAACTCGCCCTTTTCCGCTGCCACCAGGTATTATCTTAGTACCAATTCAAGTCCCACACACAGGAGCTGCTCATATAACTTAGGAATCAGGGTTTTGATCAAATATTCTTTTATTAATGAACAAATAAAAGGAAAATCAACATATAACTGTTTCAGGTGTGCATATATATATTAGATCATGTATTCAATCACTGGCATTTCTCATGCTTGTTCAATATGATGTAAACTGTCCAATTCTCTTTCCTAACCCCTCTAATCTATTCCTAAACATTAACACATTCTCAATAGCTTCTGGTCCCTAACTCTATCCCTTTCGTCTTCCAACTGTCTCTAACTGTCTCTTCCAACTGTCTAACTGTCCTTTTAGCTCTGCCCCCCTGCCCTATCCTCTGATTGACAGGCAGGAGTGACGTCATCTTTTGGATTCAGCTACATATAGCAATACCTTTGGCTGATATTCAGCGGTCCTGCGTGATCATGTCATGGATGGCTTTCACATTTGCAGGCACAGAGACAGAAACAGGCCTTCCACTGGGTTTCTCACTTTCAACACCAAAATGGCTAGTCTAAAAATTGATAACCCAATGTTTAACTGTTGCATATGAAGGGCCACTGTCACCCATAATTTGTGACATTTCATCATGGATCTGCTTTGCACCTTTCCCTTGGAGAAAGAGGAACTTGATTATGGTCCTATGCTCTTCCACACTGACCTTTTCTGGAGGTGCTGCCATGTTCACTTTGGACCTGAACATGAAAGATAAGTTAAAATCATAGGTACCTGATTTTTCACCATTGAATACAGACAAATTGGCCAATACACCATGCAATTTATGGCTTCCTGGCTCAATTTTTTCTGGGAAAGGCTCAATCCTTATCAATACCCCCTCATAGATGGCAAAGAAGCAGACTTCTTTATAAAAATTAGCATTATTTGCTTACAACTTTGTGTTTTGTTTTCTTACAGATGATTCTTTGGGACTGGGATCTAAAGCAGTGGTATAAACCCCATTATCAGGTTAGTATGTTCTTTATATAAGGAGTGATATTTTTAATAAAGAAGATATTAATCCAAATATTATACTTCAGTCACGTGTTTAGAACAGATCTATGTGTAAGAAATCCACCATTAATTTCATTCTGTGTTTAGAGAAGGCAAAAATAACTGTTTGACATTAGTCATTAAGATATATTGTTTATTATGTATTTGTTACATGTTTATGAAAATACATTGACCACAGTCCTATTGATGTTTTATTCTGGAGCAAGTGAAATGATAGAAGTTGGAGTGGTGAATTATAGGACTCCGGCCAATATGGTATTAAAACTATTCACGCACCTCATCAACACACCCAGTATCCAAATTCCTTATTGTAAGAATATTTTGATTCATCAGCTTTAAACCTGTTGTTAATAATTGACATTTATTTCTGTTTTAGATTGCTTGCAGTGGAACTGGAGTTGATCCTTCTGTACTAAATGAAGCTCGTAACATGGTTTCTGACCTCCTGGGTGATCCAGTCCTCCCCCCACATATGATTTCTTCCCTTCGAAGTATCAGTAGCTTGATAAGTACCTTCTCAGGCACATGCAGACCAAAAGTTAACCTGTTTACACCGTTTCCTGGATTTTATCCCTGTCCAGAAGTGGAAGACTCATCTGAAAGAGGAGACCGTAAGCTGCACAAGGTCAAAATATTACAATTGTAATTAGTACATGATATGTTTAAATGGGTTCAACTACAGTACCGTGTTTCCCCGAAAAGAAGACAGGGTCTTATATTAATTTTTACTCTGGGAAAAAAAAGCATTAGGGCTTATTTTCAGGGGATTTTTTAAAAAGATCTACAACAATCTACATTTATTCAAATACAGTCTTGTCATCTTCTTCTGATTGCTGCACTGTGGTGGAGGGCGGGGTTTCACTTAACTGGGGCTTATTTTGGGGATAGGGCTTATATTACAAGCATCCTGCAAAATCATACTAGGGCTTATTTTCAGGTTAGGTCTTATTTTTGGGGCAAGCAGGGTATTTTTTAAAAAACTTTTGACAAGAGATACTGATCCTGCCAGCGTCATACAATGGGATCATGACACTTGCAAAAGGGTTGCAGTTGCACAATCAGAGGGTGGATTTTCTTCATGGAGACTATTGCTTGTATAACAGTAATGTTTGCATAAGTAGACAGATCCCATGTTAATATGCTTGTGGGGCTCTCCACTCAGTGGAGGTGCAATAAGATATTGGCCAAACATCCTGAAAAACAGCTAGGAGTTTTTAATATGTATGTATTGCATGACTCCTATAGCTCTGTTTGATGGGCTGATCAAATGCAATCTGTGTGGAGTTTGGTCCATCTAAAGGAGGATGGGCTAAACTTGGGGGGAAAACATTTTAGCCTTCAGTTTTGATTACTTTGAAAAGTTTTTGGGACCCAAACATTCAGCATAGCAACCCTTTATCTCCTTGTCTCTCTAGCGTTCAATTTCCAGCTCTCTAAATCTTCCTTTGCCTGCCAACCTCTTGTGATGCTTGAAGGGTGTTACAGTGGTGCCTCGCACAGCGAGGTTAATCCGTTCCGGATTAACCCTCGCTGTGTGAAAACATCGCTGAACGGGGCAGAAAAGCCCATTAAACGAAGTTTAATGCGTTCCAATCGGCTGATTTACTCACCGTTCAGCGATGTTTTGCAATGGCCGGCAGCCATTTTCACGCTCTCCCCTCGCTTAACGAGGGTGCGAAAACGCTGCGCGCGGCCATTTTGAGGCTTCTGGCGGCCATTTTGTAGCCGCCGAACAGCTGATCAGTGGGTCGCAAAGTGAAGGTCGGTAAGCGAACCGCTTACCGACCTTTGCTCTGCGATTTTCGCCCTATGCAGGCATCGGTGTGCGATCGCATTTGCGATCGCAAAACCGACCTCGTAGAGCGAATTCATCACTCTACGGTGCACTCGTTGTGCGAGACACCACTGTACTTTTTTCTTCCTTCTCTGACACCTTCCAGCTCTTCCTTCTGTGTAACCACTTCTCTGCCTTTGGTGCCATTTTCTTCCAGAATTTTCTGCCCTGTCTTTCAAGTTCCTCTTTCCATCTACTGTTCTTTAGCCTCTTGTTTCTAGATCTCTGTCCACTACTATACGTGCATTTGTACTCTTCCATCTCCATAAATGTTGAATTCCAGCAAAACCCACATTTTCTTATCCCTTATAGAAGCTAGATTACAAACTGCTTAATTCTTAATGCTTCACGTCACCATGTCAGCTCAGTTAGTCACTGTTCAGAGTTCACAACCATAAGTGCATCTCAAAGCAGTTATTATTGCATTTATATCAAGCCAATCCTCTAGGAAACCTCAGGAAGCAATACAAATAGATTAAAAGAAGCAGATGTTTTTCTCGATAGATACATAAAGTTGCATTAGTTCAGCCAGTTATACTGGTGTTCAGTAACCTTATTTAAACTAAATAGTACATACACTTAATAAAGTTCTGTGCTGTTACAGAAAGAAAATTTGTGCTGTTTTTTCTGTAGGAAGAAATTACATTTATTAGTTTGTTCAACAGGTACTGAACAGCCGAAATAGCTTACCAACACCACAGTTGAGGAGGAGTTCTGGAACCTCAGGCTTGGTGCCTATTGAACCATCCTCTCGATGGGAACGCAACAATGGAAAGAGATCTCATCATGATTACAACAGTTCAAGGTAAGCATCTTACCAGTACAAAATTGATTGATAGGCAAGGAGGTTCAGAGAGTTAGAAGTTCTGGCTAACTTTCTACATATACCTTTCCATATTGATAGCCAAAATCCTATTGGTCATTTATGCTGACATACATGCAACAGTATAAGTTACAGCAGCAATGTCTGCTAATTAAGAAGTTGCTACTTTGATCCATCATCATGCACCAGTCATGTGAGTTGGTGCATGGGAGGGGACATGAGTAGCAACTTCATAACTAGGAGCCAGTTATCACTGCAGTTTACACCATTGTACTTATGCTAGCATAACAAACCAGTCAGATTCTGTCCATTAAATACGCATTAGTTTAATTTTAAATTAGAATCAGAATTAGGTGTTTGAAAACAGAAAATGCTTCAGATGAAGTATTTTGAATTTAAGTAATTTTTACAGTGTACATGTAAAATGTATTAAATAACTATCTTTATATTACTTTCTTCATCTATGATATCTGAAATGTGGCACTTTGATATGTTCTAATATTTGATGGCAAGCACTTATTCAGAACCTCATATTTTAAAGGCAGAGAAAGATATATTTTATAATTTGTTTTCTGAATCGTCAGGAGATTATGAGATAAAATTTTGGAGTCAAGTATCAGTCAGAACATGTGATCAATCTGTCTTTCTATATTTTAGCATGTACAGAAGCATAACAGTGGTGGTATAGTGGGAATTGGATATAACCTAAAATGTCTCAGAGCACTTTAGTGACTGATGAGTTTAATAATCTGTTAGATTTTAAGGTACCACAAGATTTGTTTATTTAGTTTTGGTGGTCCTTTTTTTCTTTGATGGATTTTTTTATGTCTTTTGAGCATAAGATGATTTACAGTCCAAAGTCTATTTATATATTTTAGAGTATATTTCCCAGATGCTACTAATATTAACTGTGCATTCTGCATGTCATTTAGTAGTACCAGCAAACTATTTGGAAGACATTTTAATACAGTACTCCAGTTACCTAAAATAGCTAGGTTTGAGCAATGATCATGGTGCTATGAATATTTGAAGTGATAACCACTCTCCCCCAGTAGATCAACAAGAATCTACTTATGCAGAAGAAAAACTGGAAAACACACACACACACACACACACAGAGAGAGAGAGAGAGAGAGAGAGAGAGAGAGAGAGAGAAGTCACCTCCAGATGGCTTGGGGTCTCTAGTCATGAGTTTGCAATGTACATCCCCAAAGTCAACTGAAGCAGTATTTTTCCTTTCCTTCTGTGGCAGTATTTTTAAAGATACTCAGTTCTAGCTCTAATGCTGTCTTGCTGTCATGTCTAGTGATCATAATGATATCATTTTACTTACACTGATCCAAATAATTGTATAAGGATCTGAATGAATATTGATATATTTAACAAAACTCAGCTTCTCAGTGGGATCATCTGTTTAAACCATGTGGTTAATTAGAAGGCCTTTCAGAATCTATGGGGCATATTGATTGTTATCGTTACTTCCCCCAGATGCCACTAAAGTAATTGGAAGCTATTTTGATTTCATTTGCCGCTGAAAAATCTTGGTATGATGATACGATCCTGTAGTTGTCAGCATTTCAGAAATACAGCTGCAAAGTAAATGATTTCATCTCTGACAATAGAATATAATAGAGCAATAGAGTATAATTAAAGCCTCCTGTATGTTTCATAAGTGTTTGTGCTGTCCTTGCATGGAAGACAAGTTTGCCAGTGCTTATATAAAAATTATAGTAAATTTAACGCCTACAAGCACATCAGTCCATTTCTAATCTTTGGTATATGTGGCTTCCACCCAGTTTTGTTTAAGTCTTCAATTTTCTAATGTTTTAATCACATTTGCATTCTTTATATGTTGTATGCTAAAATACATAAATTATATACATCTGTGAAGATTCTCAGTCATCCATGTGAAGTTATCTGGAAGTTGAGTCATGGCAACTGGACTTCTTCCTTGTTAGATTGAAACGTTTCGCTACTCATCCAAGTAGCTTCAGTCTGAGGAGAGTTGGTAGGAGATCTCTGATATATCCTCCATGTAGGTTTCACTGGTCTGAAATCAGATAAATTATATACATTTTAAAATATAACCAGCAACTTTGTATTGGTGTACAGTGCAATACTATGCATGTCTCAAAAGTAAGTGCTCCTGGGAGTGGTTCTTGCTTACATGTGCAATTGCAGAATATTTTAGTCATAGTATGCTTTTTGAGTTGAGAACAGCACTTCAAGCTCTGTTCCAAAAACTGGAAGATTACAAAGACTAAAGGATAACAAACTTCAGATCTGCATAAGAGTCGAGGACATATTAATCAGTTTGGTTCTCTTGAACTGCAAATCAAACTAAATTCATTACCTGTAGTCATATTATAATATTATAATTCCATAATGTATACTGACTCCAAACCTATGTATTATCTAAATTCAGTTGCAGAGAGGGGCATGCTTCCATATAAATATGTATACAATTGGTTTTGAGCTTTAGGTTTTGAGCTTATTCTGAAAGATGACTTTCTCTTTTTAAATACATTTCATAATATTTCTAGAAAAAATTAATTAGGTTGAATCCAGATTGTTCTTAAACCAAATGGAGGAGCTCCTTTTCTTCATGGAAGGGATTCATATATAATATAGACTCCCTTCCTCCTGCAACCTACAGTTATTCCAGATCATATTCCAGTCGTGCAGAATAGCTTGCGGGAGGAAGGAGAATCTCCTCTGTGCCTAATTTTTCCACTTGGTGCTCATAATTATTCCCTAATTGTGTAACATTTTGGATGCCTTGCATCTTCTACTGTCACATTCTTCCTCAGTAAAAGCCTTGGGTGTGAAGAGGAGATATTCCTGCTCATATGCAGACTTTGACTATGGTAAAAAAAAAACTTGGAAAATCTGCTCACGTGTGGGGCCTACACATTAGTGGGACTATTATGCTCTTCAGACCTTTGATTGTAACTATGAAAAGTACAGTGTTGGAGTGGGTAGGCTAAGTACTTAACTCTGAGGTGGGCTGAGTGCTTAACTCTGAGAATATTTACAGCATTGGATTGAACAGTGCTTGATTATGGTTAATGTGTTAAGCATATCTCACATATCAAGATTATGTGCCTTGCTTTGTAGCAGTTACAAAAGAAGTAGCTCTGTTTCAACATGTTGACAAAAGTAAAGGGGAAAAGAAGATGGGGAAAAAAGACAAAATACTTGTAGGACTTCAAAAACAAATTTGTTTCAGTATTAGCTTTTGTGGATCAAAATCAATTTGTCTGGAGAAGTGAATTTGTCCCATAAATCTCAGCCTTTTAATTACTACAGTATTTTGCATTTTTATACGTTTTAACTTGTTACCGTTTGTCAGAGACCAACACTTATATTTGCGAAGGCTTTCACGGCCAATTTTTATGAGCTGGGAGCCAATTTTTGTTGAGCATCACACTTTCCTCTTTTTGTTGAAGTTTTGCTGGTGCTTGTGGATTTCAATGGCTTCCCTGTGCAGTCTGACGTAATGATTGCTGGTGTTGTCCAGTCTTTCAGTATTTTGGAATAGAATTTCATGTCCAGTTTGTTTCAGGGCATGTTCAGCTACTGCAGATTTTTCTGGTTGTTTTGGTCTGCAGTGTCTCTCATGTTCTTTGATTCTGGTGTGGATGCTTCGTTTTGTGGTTCTAATATATACAGTGGGGTCTTGACTTGAGAACTTAATCCGTATTGGAAGGCGGTTCTCAAGTCAAAAAATTCTCAGGTCAAATCTGCATTTGCCATAGGAATGCATTGAAAACCATTTGATCCGTATCTGCTCTTTTCCGTCCATAGAAACTAATGGGAAGCTGCTATTCCGCCTTCGACCACTAGAGGGGGATATTTTGTTTCTTTTTTTCTTAGGTCAAGAAAGGTTCAGGGAAGGCAGGGAAAATACAGCCCAGGCAGTACCAGGCAGTCTGAAGACTCCCAATCCACTATCTAAACGCTGGGAGGAGTGAGGAAGCAGACAGGCACCCTTTTCACTGGCCAACAGTTAACTGAAAGTTCAAATTTTGCACTTTCCCTGTCTCCCACGTGTTTTTTTTTCAGTTCTTAACTCAAATCTAAGTATGTAAGTCAAGTCAATATTTTCCTATGAGAGTGGTTCTTAAGT